AGCTTCAGGGGTTTGTATAGCTGTTTTCAGAGATACTTGTAGGGACCTGTAAATTTTCAGTTCTTCCAAGGTGGTGTGATAACGGGAGGGTTTACTCCTTTCCTGGCCTGTGACCACAAATATTCCTTTCTATCCTGTAACGCCACTACAAGCTCTACCCCGCCGGCGTTCCTCCTCACCCCAGCACTGCAGCCTGTAACTGTGACCTAGATCCACACATGGGCAAAGCAAGAGATTCCTGCCTCAGCACTGGCAAAGAGATCCCTGCAATCCTTCTCTGATCAGCCACTGGATTCCTCCTCAGTCTGTGGGCCAGAAGCTTGGGAAGCAGCTGCCCCCCCCACCCCCGGGCCACGCTCTTGGGGAATGGAGCTGAAACCCCGCCTTCCTCTCTGAGCACTGACAGAAGCAGACTTTTCCCACTGACCTTCTAAGTTGTCTTTGGCATTTGTGGATTGAGGAGTCTGGAAACCTCCACAGCTGCCCGTGATTCAGGCCTCTGTGGCCTGCTCCAGGTTTGCTGCGGCCTGCGCTCCTATGCTGCGCTGCGCTGCCAGCCTGGCGCGATACACCTTTCTGATCAATCATCCAGGTTGTCTTGGGCTGGAAATTTGTTTCACTCTGTCTTTTTGTGGGTTCTGCTGCTTCAGAATTTGTTTAGAGCCATTTTTTATGAGTATTTGGAGGGGTTTGGGAGAGAGCTCAAGCAAGTCACTGCTTTCACTCTGCCATCTTGGCTCTGCCCCCTCTCATTTTTCATATTTCCTCTTTTGTGCTTGTTTTAAGTTTATTTATTTACTAATATTCAATTCATTAGTCTTCTCTTTTTTCTGTTTTGTTTAAGTATGTTTGTAAGGAAATGATTTTTTCCACAAGGACTACTTTAGCTGGGTCCCAGAAATTTTGAGATGTTGTTTCATTGTTATAATTTTCTTTTACATAGTTATTCTGTAATTTGTTCTTTTTGACCCATTCATTATTTAGAATATCATTGTGAAATCTGTTTGATTCTGTAAATTTTGTTTGTGCTCCCTGCACTTATTACTATTTTTATTGTGTTATGAATCCATTAAAGTATGTGTTTACTTTTCCTGCCTTTTTACATTTTTTATAGTATCTTTGTGCCTTAATGCATAATGAGTTTTTTCAAAGTTCCATGTAGTCCTGAGAAATATGTATATTCTTTATCAGTATTATTTAGAAGACACCATAAAGCTTTTAGCTCTTGTTCTTCCAGAAATTTGATCAATTCTAAATTTTCCCTTTTGTTTTTCTTTCTGTTTAGTCTTACCTAAAATTGAAAGGAATGTTGAAATCTTTTCCTACTATTGTATTACTGTACACATCTTCTTGTAGTTCAGTAGATGTTTTGGAATAATTTTCTTCTTTTGTCTTTAGTTCTTCTGTAACCTTAAGAGCTCTTCATTGTCTGACTCTTTTGTTGTTGTTTTTGTTTTATTTATACATTATTTCAACATTACTTCCTAAAATGGGTTTTGGTGATAGGCCCAGACTCTGAACTTCTGCAGGGAAGGTTTGGGCCTTTGTTGGTCTTGCTTTTTATTCTCTTGGGTCTTGCTTTGAGTATCGAATGCTGTGTTCTTCAGTGATCTCAGGGACAGCTCAGGCTAGGGATATAAAAACTCTTTTGTCCTGGTCAAAGTCTGCTATCTGTCTTCCTGGTCTGAGCTTAACAGGTTCCATATCCGGTTTGGAGTCTGAACAACATCATTGTACGTTGTTCTCCTGGTTGGAGCTCCTGGATTGTATCTGCCCCCAGCCTAGTCGATCTATCTAGAGACAGAACTGCAGAGCCACAGCTTCTGTCTGCTTCTCTTCCTGTTCCTTGCCCAGAACACAATCTTAGGCACTATCATTCCCTGTCCTGGACCACCACCCATAGGTGCAGGTCCCCTTCTCATTCTACACTGGATCCGTGATGCAGCTGTGGAATATAAATGAGAGAGTTCCCAATTAATACCTGTTCCTACTCCATGTATAGTGGCAGGTCCCTCTTTCCTGTATCCCAAGACCCTTATTTGCCATAATTAATAACCTCAGGCCCCATTTCAGTCCTCTACAATGGAAGGATGTGCATCCCTATGCTGTCCTTGATAGAACTTGCACTTAGTGTCCAAAGACCTCTTTCTTTCTATGCTGACCAGGGTTGTGAAAATGGCTCACTGTTATTTTACCTAAGGTTTTCTAATCAAGACTGATTCTAGTGTTCAACTCTTTCTTTTCTTTCTTTTTTTAATATTAATAAAATTTTTATTCCTCCAGGCCTGAAAGTTTTCCAGTTCTAAACCCTGAAGAGATAGTTTGCCAAGTCTCTGTCAAATCTTACAGTGTACCTTTTCTAATTCTCTAGTCATAAGGACTTTGCTGGTATAAACATGTCATAATACATTCACATTTGCTTGCAGAGATGGGGATTTAATCCTTCATTCCTGTCCCTGGGTATGAGTCTTGACTCCATATTTGGGCAGAGCCCCAGAAGGGCCATTCTAACCTGGGGTTCGACCCAGAGACAGTGCACACAGCCCTAGTTTGTTTAACTATTTCTTTGCGGGAAAAGAGGATTGGGGAATGGTATAGCTAGGCTATACTGCTTCCTTCTGCTTTGCCATCTTGACTGGTCTTATCTCAGATAAATGCATTATTTGTTGTTTGACTCAACCACAGGGATTCTCCCAGAGGAAATGTTGTGGAGTTAGGGGGAGGGGTAAGGGTCACAAGAGTCCTTAGGAGGCATAGCAGTGAGAAATACTTGAAGGCTGAAGCACTATTTAGATTAGGGCAGGCTAAAAGTAGTCTTGGTCATAGCCTGAGTTTGTCCAGTCCATTCTGGCTCCAAGATACCATTGCTGAGAACCAGTAAAAAGTATGATTTTTAAAATTTAGTCTACTGTTCATTCTTCTCTTTTGTTCTCATGTTTCTTTATTATCCAGCACTGAAGATCAACCAGTCAGAGACATCTATTACATGCAAATGAAAACTGAAGAATTGTTCTTTTCATGGGAGATTAGTACCAGATTGGAGACAGAAGACTTGTGTTTATAATATAGGCTTCATGACCTAGGAGGATATGATAGATTCTCTCCCTAAAATGAAATTTTCTTCCCCAAAGCAAGACACACATTGGTATGCTGGCTGAGACCACTCTGAAAGAATACTGAGAAAATGGAAGAAGTACTAACACTGAGACTTTCAGGGAAAACTCAATAAAAACCAGGGCCTCATAAACTTTTAAAACTCTCTTATAAGGTAGTCTGCTTTAGGGTATTCTTTGCTGTAGCTCCTCTCATTGAACATGTTAAATAATGTAGTCAAAATGAAGTAAAAACCTGTACCAACAAGTGGTAGTGGAGTGCTACCTGCTCAAACCAGGAAAACGTATTTATAAAAGAATACCATTTTAAAGAAAAACAGCTTTGAAATACTTAAGAACTCTGATCAATGCCATGATCATAGGATTCCAGAGGAACAAAAAATGATAGACTAAAGATATAGAATTAGAAATATATTTTCAGAAATAGTCAGTATTGGAATTTGTTTTTCTCGGCTTTTTCTTTCTTCCCCCTTGGGGTAAGGTGCTATTATACCCATTTTATACCTGAGGAAATTGAAGCAGAAAGAGGTTAAATGTTTTGTCCAAGGTCACACAGCTAGTCAGTGCTTAAGGCTGGATTTGAACTTAGATTTTCTGGATTCTAGGTCTGGCACTCTATCCATTGTACCACTTAACTGCAGTTCTTGTCAGCTTTTCCCTCAAAGCTATATATCACATAGGGCTCATGACTCAGAGATCAAATTTAAAATTTAACTTTATAGCATTCTTTGGGGCCATATTACAAAGAGACATTCATTTTTGAACTTCTTGTTTTTCGTATTTTATTTTTTCAGTTCTCTCTGTAGTTTCAGTATTGGGTATATTCACATGGGCATACTTATATTTTCTGCTTGTAGAATTTGTTTGTTACTGAAATTGTTCATTCTAGCCACTTTGTGTTTAGAATTTGAAATGTATGAAGTTTTGTTTATTTTTTTAATCTTGTCTATTTTTGCTAGAAGCGATCAGTGGATTCTTTGATTTGGTTTTCTGCATTCAGAAGTTGTGGGCAATTTTAATGTATTTTTATACTATAATACAGAAGTTATATAAAATATAATAACAATGTAATAATGATAATATTCAGGTTTTTTAATTTTTTATGTTCTTCTGGAAACTTCTGATCAATTTTTCTTTCTGCCTCCTGTATTTTTTAAGGGCCAGACTCTGTTCTCAATACTTCCCTGCCTCCTACTCAGCAACTGCCTTCCTATCTTTTTTGGAACTTGAATTCTGAGGCTCTCTTTTCCTGAGAGGTGTACTGGGACAGCTATTTCTGGAAGGGCCTCAGCAATGTTTCACTTCCCGCATGATTTTCTCATACTAGTTACCTTTAATTTTTATTTATAAGTATCATCAGTCACTTCAGTTGCACTAGTAAATAATCTCCTAAAAGGAAATATAGCAGAACATGTACCAGGAAAGGATTGAAGGATGGTTAATATACTTCTTTTCCATCAATTTTGGAAGACTTCTTGTGCCTTGCTATTTAGTTGAAGAGAAGTGGGATGGGCTGGGTTCTCTTAGGTCTCACCTATTGGAAATAGCAAATGGGAGCAGGAAGGAGTAGGAAAGGAAAAGATTTAAGATGAAAGAAAATTTGTTGTCTATGGAATATATGTTCCACAGAGCACAGTGGAAGAAGTGAGTAGCTGTAGAGTGGCATATTGTGGTGGAAGGTGGAGGGGGGGGTAGGAGTGGAGGAGAATGGGAATAAAGGTTGGGCAGTGGGAGATGGGAATGCTACTTTTATGATTGCCAACAGGGATTCAGAATCACATGGGATTTCCCCACAGCAATGAAGGTGTCTTGCCTACCAGGCTTTGGCTCTGATGACAGTAGTAAGAAGAAAAAGCTAAGCTAATGAAATTTTTATTCATTTTGCAGAAATCGTAACTTAAAAAGGAGACTTCACCCCAGTTGTTGTGAAGCACCCAGAGATGCCAATAACAGATTTGTCCTGGCCCTTCTTTTCAGTCTTCTTACTACCTTTTGAACTTAAACAAAAAATCCCTGCACTGCCAATTCCAGAACTGACTTCAGGAGAACAAATGGGTCAAGTGTGCATACTACACCCATACCAGAACTGAGAATTTATAAAGGTTAATTTGGAGTCACAGTCTGGATTTTTGATACTTGGAAGTATTTGAAAGTAATCTTGAAACCTTCAAGAGCACTTTGAGGGGAAGGCACTGACTGTCAAAGGAAGTCATACAACTGCAAAGATTGTGTTTGGTGGATTTTTCTGTCATGTGATCTAGACTGGTCCATTGCTGCAGCAGTTATTCTAGCTCCAGCATCACTGTCATGACTGTGTCAGGATATTGACAAGGAGTCAGGCTAAGTCCAAGGTAAGATAGTAGCTTGTCTATCCATAGCCCATTTAACAGAATTTTTCAATCTTTTAAAGATAGAGCATTGAAATAGGGACTAAATCTATGATTTTCTTGGTATAGGAACTTCCAGATGAGGGAATTCCCTCGACCAGTGCAGATATTCATCTTCTTTCCAATTATTCTTAAAAACTGCCTAGAGAACTAAGAAATGAAATGACTTGCCCAGGGTTAAACAATCAAGAAGCATACATCAGGACTTGAACCTGTATTTTCTCAGTGTGGGGGCCAGCTTTCTAACCATTACTCTACACTCTCTTTTATCGTCAGAAAATAATTTTGGGGGAGTGAGCTTTTGGCTCATGGCAGAGTAGTGGGTAAGAGTATAGCAGATTTTTCCCTACCATTCTTGTACAAAGATTTAGAAAACATTTCAGACTCAGTTCTGATTGTGAAATCAAAGGAAAAAATCAGAGTGAGCCATATTTCAAGCTCAAATGAGATAGAGAGAGAGATGAGAGGTGGGGAGTGGGAGGAGGTCTAGCCTGGAAGTACCATGTTGGGCCTTCCAATGCAGTGACTAAACGAAGGCCTGCCTACAGCTGTGTACCAGAGTAAGAGGAGGTCCCTTAAAGATCTGGCATAGAAGGTCAGGGAACAGGAACAAATGCCCACTGGCAATTTTGTGGCTTACTTTCTAGTGCTGGGTTACAGATGCAGTGGGGGTGGAGGATGGGATGGGAAAAGGAGTGGTAATAGACCCTGGGGCCTAGGCTGTGTACTGAGTAAGAGTTAGCATAGAAGAAAGCAGCACTTGTGTGACTGTGACCCCTACTCATGCCCTAATACAAAGTCCAAACTCAGCAAGTAAGGGCTGGAATGATGTGTAAACAACAACAACAACAACAAAATCCCAGTATAAAGACTTGTTCTGGTGACAGGAATGCCTAAAGTTTTTCTCCTAAATTCCATTTCAGATATGTTCACAAAAAATGCCTGTGTAGTATCCAGCTAGAGATGCCAACTAGTCAGTTGGTCATGTGAAACTTAAGCTCAAGAGAGAAATTAGGATTGGATTTATATATCTGGGATTCATCTTCACAGATCTAATTGATGTCATGGCATTTGAAGAGATGACAAAGAGAGGACAGGCAGCTAGGTGGTGGAGTAGATAGGGCATAGGGCAGGAGAACCAGAATGGAACAGGGTCAAAAAAGTTAAGGGCGAAGAGAGTATCCAGAAGGAATAGATTGTTAGCAGATGAAATTTGCAGAGAAGTTAAGATACTATTCTCCACCTCACAGTTCCTAACTCTAATAAGAATTACTCAGGGTCTTTGAGTCACAGTGATTTAGAGAAAGAAAATGTCTCATTCGCAATTCCTCAGAACATAGTTGTGAGGAAAGTGAATAAACAACATTTACAGAGGACCTCAGAAGATTACTTTCTTTATCCTGTCCACATCAGTTCTGTGCCTGGGAAACTAAATTGGTGCCTTCTAAATTTTACCCATTTTGGCCTTTCTCCACTCAACTCAGAATAACTCAAGACACAGCCTCTCATCATTCTCTTTTTTCTTTAAATTTTTAAAAATTTAATTTCTTTTCCTTCACACCATAAACTAAAGCACAACCTTTGTAATAGTTAAGCATAGTTGACAAAACAAATTCTTGTGTTGACCTTATCCAAAAGTTTGTGTCTCATTTTGTATATTGTTCCAGCACCTCTATAGGACGTCTACTTCCAGATGTCTAACAGGCAATTGGATTTTGAAGTGTGAAGGTCAGCAGAGAGGTTCAGGCTAGACTAGTAGATTTGAGAATTATCGTATAGAGATGATAATTGAATCCAGCATAGCTGAGGAGATCACAAATGAAATAGTGCAGAGAAAAGAGAAGAGGGCCCAGGATAAAGTCCCCTGGGACAACCATGGTTATTGGGTATGACCTGAATAGAGATTCAGTGAAGTAGCGACTGAGGAGTGATCTGATAAGTAGAAGAGGAACTAGTAGAGAGTCGTGTTTGAAAACCTAGGGAGAAGATAGTGTCAAGAAGAGGGTGATTAACAGTATCAAATGCAGTGGCGGTGAAGAATGATGAGGACTGAGAAAAAGCCATTACCAAATCTGGTAATTAAGAAATCATTAATAACTTTGGAGAAAGCTATTTTGGCTGAATGATGAGGTTGGAAGCAGGACTAGAGAGAGTTAAGAAGAGAGTGAGGAAAGTAGTGGACACACCTATTGTAGGGGGCCCTTTTGTAGAGTTTAACCACAAAAGCCAGGAGAGATAGGGGATATTAGTGAGGATTTTTTGAGAATGGAGGAGAGGTTGGCATCAGTATATTTGTAGGCAGTAGAGAAGCAGCCAGTAGACTGGGAGAGACTGAAGATAAGTAAGAGAGTAGGGATGTTAGAGGAGGCAGTGTGTCAAAGAAGACAGGATGGAATAAGATCAATTGTTGCATATAGAGGGTTAACCTTGGTAGGGAGAAGAGCCACCTCTTCATGTGAAACAAAGGTGGAGGAGGAGAAAGTGGCAGAAGGCACCTGAGTATTGTTACATGAGGAAGAGCAAAGAAGAGAGAGCTCTCAGCAATTAGACTCAAATTTTTTCAGTGAAATTTGAGGCAAGGCTCTCAACTCAGAGGGTGGGAGGTGGGAGAGCCATGGGAGATTTCAGGAGGGATGGGAAAGTTTGGAAAAGCTGCTTTGGTGAGTAGGATAGTGAATTAATTATTGGGGAGGTATTGCTTTACTATAGTGTATAGACCTTGTAGTACTTTTTTTTTTTTTTGCACATTGTCTCTTCTTTTAGATTGTGAGCTTCTCAAGGGCAGGAGACTGTCCTTTGCCTTTCTTTGTATCCCCAGCTCTTTATCTTATCATTTTCCCTTTTGGAATATTGTATTCCATGCTTTCTACTCCTTTATGCTGGAAGCTGCTAAATCTTAACTGATCTTGAATGTGGTTTCACAGTATTTGAATCCTTTGTTTCCAGCTGTTTACAGTATTTTTTCTTCAACCTGCAAGCACTGGATTTTGGCTGGTCTTGGAAGTTTTAATTGTGGGTTTTAGAACTTGACCATTGAATTCTTTCTGTACTTTGGCCTCTGGTTCTAACATATCTGAGCAGTTTTCTTTCCTGATTTCTTGAAATATGATATCTAAGCTCTTTTTTTGGTCATGATTTTCAGGTAATCCAGTGATTCTTAAATTATCTCTGCTTTGTTCTGTTTTCCAGGTCATTCTTTTTTTTATGTCAGATGGTTTGCATTTTCTTCTTCTTTTTTTCAATATTGACTTTGTTTTAATATGTCTTATCTTATGGAGACTATAAACTCTTTGGTAAAGATCCCCCCCACCCCCGAAATATAGCAAAACATGAAATGGGAAGGGATTGGGGGATGGTTAGCGCCTTCCTTTTCCCCTTCCCTTTTGGAAGACTTCTTGTTTCTTTGCTAGTTCCGTTGAAGAAAGATGGATGTGAGCTCACAGTGTTTGGCATCAGCAGCAGTGTGGGAGTCCTACCTACCCAGCTTTGACCTTGATATTATTAGACAGTAGGATTAAGGAAAAGAGCTAATGATATTTTTATTGATTTTGTAGAAACCATCACATGAAGTGGAGACTTCATCCCAGTCTGCCCAGAGGAACCATCAGGACCCAGAGACGCCAATAACAGATTTGTCCTTGCCCTACTTTTCAATCTTCCCAACTTTTTGAAACTACAAAACCACAGAAATATCCCTGAGTCTCTGCCAATTCCAGAACTGACTGAAAGGAGGACAAATGGGTCAGGTGTGCATACTACACTCATGCCAGAGCTGTGAATTTATAAAGGTTATTTGGAGTCTGCATTAAGATTCTGATAATTGGAAGTATTTGAAAATGATCTTAAATCCCTGAGGCAGAGCTTTGAAAAAGCACTGTTTTGCAAAGGTTTCCAAAGTGGGCGATACTACTCTCTGGGGGTGCTGGAACAATCCAGAGGGTGGTAGTAATTTGAAATGATGCAAATTTTTTTTTAAAAAAAAAGAGATTAGAGAAAATAGATTTCTAGGGAGGTGCTGAGTAACTTTTTTTTTTTTTTGGAATGGGGGTGGTAGGCCAAATAAGTTTTGGAACCTCTGAGAGGAAATCTTTCATCTGTAAAAATTATGTTTGTTACTGATTCCTATCACATAATGTAGATTGGTCCATCACTACAGCAAGATGTTGATTCTAGCTCCAGCGCCACTGTCATGACTGTGTCAAGATACTGACAAGGAGTCAGGCCAGTTCATAGTTATGGTAGTGGTTTGTCCATCCATAGTCCATTTAACAGAGAATTTTGTAATTTTCTAAAGATGGGGGTTAAGACCTATTTTCAGGTATTGTACCTGTGACTTTACTGGTACGAGGAATTCCTGCTTGAAGAAGTTCTCCCTACCAATGCCTGCATTTTGGCTTCTCTCCAACTTCTTTTCTTAAAGAATTGCCTTGAGAATGGAGAACTGAAATGATTGGCCAGGGTCAAATGACCAAAAACTGTAAAAGTCAGAACTTGAACCCCTGTTTTTTAGTGTTGAGGCCAGCTTTTTATCACTATTTTATGCTTCTGTTCATATTTAAAAATAATTTTTTTTTTGCTGGGCATGAGGTAGTATCCCAAGTTATTTTCATTTATATTTTGCATAGTTGTAATTATGAACAAATTTTCTTGTGGTCGTTACAGTTTGTGTGTCTTTTGAAAATTGTTCATATGCTTTAAAAATTTCTGTATTAGCTTTTAATCCATTTGATTTGTCAAGTTTCTGTAGATTTTGATTGTTAGTATTTTATCACTTTTATCTTTCTTTTCTGCTCTCTAAGGCGAAACATAGCATAACTAATCCCTTATCAACCTGGCAGCTCTTTGTATATTCAAATACAACTATTATATCCTTTATAAGTCTTTTCTTTTTTAGGCTAAGTATCACTAGTTGATGCTCATATTATGCTCTCACTAGTCTTTCCACCATTTTGTTCTTCCTCTGGATGAACAGTTAGTTTGTAGTTTGTAAATACGTCTTAAACTGTGGTACCGGAACTGAGCACAAGTGGGTATACTGGGGAAGGCCACAAGAATATTGACAGCTGGAGCCATCTTGTTCCTTCTGTGTTTCTAGTGCCTTCTGAAGGCTTCTCAGAGACTTGACAGCATTTGTACTGAGTGTTGGTTATAGTGGTTATGTCAGGAGCTAGGAGAAACTAAGAGCTTTGTGAGTATTTCTCTCCAAACTCAAAGAGACTGAAGGAGGATGCCCAAGTCATCTGTGTCTTCATTCCTCTGTAGTCTACACTCTTGACTTTCTAGAGTTTTTACTTCCATGGGATCTTTTGGTGACCTCAGTCCACATTTCAGCTTCCTTTTGTGTGTTGTTTTTCCTCGTTAGAATGTAAGCTCCTTGATGACAAGAACTGTTTTTCTTTCTGCTTGTATTTGTATTCCCAGAATTTAACACAGTGCCTGGCACATGGCAGGCACTTAATGCTTGTGAATTAGATGTTGATTTTAGGAATACATTATTCCTGCCAGCTGATTTCCCCTCAACCTTAACTCTCCCTTTTTTCCAATTTGTGCCTCTTTCTTTATTTTGAATAATGCTAAACTTTTTAGTTTTTTTCTTTCCTCTTTTTATCTAGTTCTATAATTCTTCAATTTTTTTTGCCTCTCAGTTAAGTAGTAAAGTAAAATTTCCCTTCCTCTCTTCCTCTTCCACTTATTTTTAAAATTAGCTTAAAACTTTTTTCTGTACCATTTTCTATTAAAAATAAAGGACCTCTTTTATTCTTTTTATTATTTATCTTCCCTTTCTGTTCTAGGATGTTACTCTTTGATTTCTGTACCTTACAACGATTCTTTCCCTCTTTAGTCTCTGCATCCCTCTGAATTAAAGCTTCTAAGGTATTTATTTTAGGTTCCCTATTCTAAATATAGTCAGTCCTTAAATTTTATGGGGTTAATGTTCCTGAAAACTGCACAAAAGTAAAAAACACAAATGTTGATATATTGAATCTATGGGAAATAAGGGGGTCAGGTTTCCTTTACCACCAAAAACTATAATGTTTCACTAAATTGCTGAAAATAATTAAATTGCTGAAAATAAACTTTTCTGCATATATATTTCTTTATAACAAAACATTAATTCTGATAATATGACTTTTCCTAACACAGTAACCATAACCCATAAAATTCAGGGGACAGGATGGGGACGAGCAAGGGCAGTGATGTCAGAACCACCATGTAAGAAAGGTAAAGGGGCAGGGCAACCTGCCATCTCTTTTGATTCTGTGGTTGGTGTGAGCTCTGAACTCCCTCCCAGAGTAGCTCTTCCTGGCCTGTGGACAGCTGCAGGGGTGGGGATTGCTGCTTGGTACAGGACGGTTTGACCACCATCTCATTTACCTTAGTTGCTTTTCCATTTTTTCAGTACCCTCATCAAGCTTGAGAGAAGTACTTTCTAGAGCAGACTCACAAACACGTTTATGAATACTTTCCTCCTTTTTGCCGATTTAAGGAATAGTTGATTTGTTAACACCAAACTTGAGGTTGACAACAGTTGCAGACATTGCAGCATGAAGTTTATCTGACATTTTTATTTCCTCACTAAGGCACATCACTGGCTTTGTACACTTGGACTTAGAGTCCAAAGGTTTTGCACGATGCTTTAGGGGCATAACTGCAACTCAAAACTTGAATTTTAGAAGCAAATGATAAAAATATGTAATGAATGCACAGGGTGCTCTTTATAATGGTAGGGTGAACAAGACCAGCGAAGCACCTAGCAGCATATCAGCCACTCCGCAAACTTGAGCACATCTCACCTCTAATTTTTTTCTCTGCTGTGAATAGTCTCAAATGTGTGTGGGTCCTGTTCTGTCTGTCCATGCCCTTCTAACCCTCCTAGATAGCATTTGTCCCTAGGTACTCTAATTTCCCCTATTCCTGAGCCATAGGATGAGTGGTCTCTAAGCACTGAATCTTGCAGATTATATCCCTTATAGGGTCCCCATCTCCTTTTACAGAATCTTTTAGCCCTTGGGAGTTTTCATCAGTGGTTTCCCCTCCCACCACTGAAACAAAGTTTCCCCCTTCTTTTCTTTTATTTCAGTTCCTTCTTTTGCCTCTTTACCCATTCTCCTGCGGCTCTCTTCTTCCTGAGAGACTGTAGTTCTTTTTACCCCTTTTTACATTTATCCCTCATTGTTAACCCTTGACTTGTTTAGGGTGTTTCATGTATTCTTCATCTTCCTCCTCCCCTCTCCCCTTTCATGTGCCCTTCTTTTCTATAATTTAGTCCTACAAAAGCATTGATTCAACTACTCCCTATGGTGTTGTGAGGTTTAGTCCATGAGTTTCAGGCCTGCTTATCTACCATCTCTTCTTTTTGCCTTGTGTTTGTCTTCTTGTGTAATTTTAGAAAGAAGTCTCTTAAAGGACTCTTGTAAGGGAGAAAATCTGTTCTGCCCTAATTATGCCAATTGTAGGGTAGCATACCCTCTGAGAGAATACTGAGATACCAAAAAAAAAGGGGCTTATACCAGCTTGGTTATTGATAAGTTTTATTAGAATTATTTAGATTAATTAGAGGAGTTTGCTCACAAGAAGCCAGTCATCCTAGGTGGCAGCAGAACAAAGTAGCATTGTGTATCCCTGCACCAACCCCAGTCCAGGTCAGTTATTATATAGAAACAGAAGAAAGAAGGCATAGTGCCAGGATGGCCCCAGGTTATGTGCAGGTTTTCCCATGGGATAGTTACAGCTTCGTTTACTGTTTACATTTTTTTTATGCTCATTTTTATTGAAAATCCAGATTTGGAGGGTATATCACCTCAGATTGCATCTTGAACTTCTTTGCTCTTTGGAACACATTACTGTATTCTTTCCTACGGTTTCTTGTGGGTGCAGAATAGTTTTGTGTTATTTTAATTTTCTTTCTTTTACATTTGAAGGTATTCTGGGTTGCAGAATTTATTGTTTGTCATTAGAATTATTAAATTTAACTTCTATGTGTCTTAAGAGTTTGCAGCCTAGGTTTTTTTTTCTTCTGGAAGTGATCTGTGGATTCTTTCATTTGGCACTGTGTTTTCTGCGCTCATAGATTTTGGGCAGTTTTCTCCATATTATTTATAACACTGTATCATACAAGTTTTTTGACTTGCCATATTCTTCTGGAGACTTTTCCTTAAGCTGTCTCTATACATCCTGTCTTAGAGATCAGTATGTTTTACCTACATGGATATCATGTTTTATTTGAATGTTATTGCTTTTTGTTTTTCTTCTTCTATACTGGCCTTTAGTTTTGAATAGTTGTATTCCTAGTTATCTTCTCTTTTGTTTCTTTAGTGAGACTTGCCACTATAGATTCAAATTTTTCTGTTCTTTTGATTTTTTTTCTGTTGTGCAAGACATTAATTCTGCTTTTGCAGTTCTTTATTTTAAACCATTTGGGAATATCATGCTGTGGTTCCATGCCTTCTTGGGAGTTCACTGATTTCTCTTCTTTATCAGGTATTAATTAATTTTCCTTTGTTTTGCAGTATTTATTCTAGATGCTTAAACTCTTAGATGATTTGCAGCCATATTACCTTCTGTTGTTAATATCTTCCCTGTGTTGAGCTTATGCTCAAAGTTGTTTTTTTTTTTTTGTGAGGCAATCAGGGTTGAGTGACTTGCCCACAGTTACACAGCTAGTAAGTATCAAGTGTCTGAGGCTGGATTTGAACTCAGGTCCTCTTGACTTGAAGGCTGGAGCTCTGTCCACTGTACCACCTAGCTGCTGCTCAAAATCTTTAACTTGAGTTTTCTTCTTCCTGAGATCCTAATTTTAGCCTTTTCCCCCTAACTATTCTCCACTTTCTGACTTCCTCCTAATGGATTGTAGTTTACCTGGTGGCTAGACTTTATGTAGTCTCAGTCTCCCACTACTTTGGGCAAATCATGTTTCATCAGCCTCAGTCTCTGCCAAAGTGACCTCTGGGAGGACAGAACTGGCCCTGGCTACATTCTGAGCTCTTTCCCTCAGGCTTTGTGGAGTACTTCTCAGCCACACACATACGCACATGCATGCTTATTTGCTCTAATACACCCTGATTTTCTCCGTTCCTCAGTTCTCAGAGAGCACTTAATTGCTGCACAGGTTGCTGTCACACTGCTTTCTCAGCCCAAACAGGCATCAAACTATTGTGTTTTTGTTTTTGTTTTTTGCTCAGGAGAAGTAAGTGGTAGAAATTTAAGCTGCTGGAGCTAGTGGAGCAACCCTACCTACATGGTGGGAGGTTTGGGAAGGGGGTGCTGAGTGAGCAAGTTAAGGGGTTGTGGTGAGCCATCTCTGTTATTAGTTCATTGAATTGTTGTCTTAAGGTTCTTGGTGTCCTAGACAGTGGAGACAGCTAATATTATTTTATAGTTTGTATATAATTCCAATTTTAGAGAAATTTGGGAGATTGTGAGAATTAAAGAAAATGTCTAGTCTTCTTTCTTGTTGGTCTCATGACCTGGATTCAATTTACATTTCTGTAGGGAGTTTCTAGCCTGCCAAAAGTTGCCAATGCATTCATCATCTTATTTGATTCATACAAAACCTCCACGAGGTAAGTAGTGCAAGTGTTACATTGAACAAATGGGATAACTGAGTCCATAAGACTGAAATTATAGCCAAAGTCACATAGACAACAAGGGGTAAAGAAAGGACTCAAACCTGTGGACTTTATTTTAAGTTGGGACTTCATTTCACTGAATTAGCTTAAAACAAGTGTTCTCCTTTTGCAACCAATTAAATATCCAGACTATTCATGATCCTCCTCAGTGGTGCACTGCAAAGGGGAGAGGTAGGTGAAAATTTAAAGGAAAGGATTCATATACAGAGGCAGACCAAGTAGAAGCAGAAAGGACTAGAGGTAGTTTAAAATGGAGCTGCCTGTGTCCTAACATACAGGAGGCACATGAGTGCACGTTTTAACTTCGACTCTCATGAGTGTGTATGTGTGTGTGTGTGTGTGTGTATATATCTATATGTATATATGCAGAGAGACATATATATGCATATAAATCAACATGAATATTTATATGCATATATATGTCTCTGTGTGTATCTATATATATTTAATATGTATATATGTGGGCATTTTATGGAGTCAGATTACCTGAACTTTTGACTTAGTACTTTTTTGACCTTGAGCAAGTCACTTAATCTCTTAAGACCTCAGTTTCCTTTTCTGTAAAATAAATGCTTGGGACTAGATGGCCTCTGGGAATGGGACTGGTGATTTCATGGAGTAAATCCTCTGTGGAAAAAACAAACAAACTGTTATCTGTCAATGCAGGTTAGTACTTTCTTTACAATTTAGAGCCTTGCTAGTAATGCATACCAGAGGTACAACGTGAACTCAGGTCTCCCTAGCTTCAAGACTAGGTCTGTTCACTGTCATTCTGCCTCTCATCCTCTCTTATTACTAATCTCTCCATCCTCCTCTTTGCAGTCATCCTTTGTTACAAAGAATAAAAAGAAAAATGCAGTACAGGAAAATCATCTAACATAGCAGCTTAATTTGAGCGTATATGCGGTGTACCACATACATAGTGCTCTGCCCCCTTTTCCCCCAAAAATGGGAGTAGGGGAAGGAGGTGAATCTACCCGTTTGCAAAGCCACACCTACACTTTCTCTCCTGTGTTGTAGACACCTTCAGGAGCCACTGCAGCTGCAGCTCCTCAGGGCACCCCCAGAGGGCGCCAAGCCGAGAGCGTTCTCCTGTGCTTTCTTGCTTGGGCTTCCTCTGGAGCTCGCTGTCTGTCCTCCTCTAAGAGATCCAGGGTGGAGGCTCCCAGGCCTCCCAGGCCTGATGGGGGTGGGGGGTGAGGAGCTGATGTCAGCCTCGGGCCTAGGAGGCCCCATTCCTGGTGTCAGAAGGTCTGAGAGGCAGCCTGCCCGGCTGCAAGTGAGAGCCAGGCTGCCCTGGGCCATGGGGAGGGGCTGAAATAGAGGACCCGAGTGAAAGAGAGTCCAGCCCACTGTAATCTAAATCAACACGTAGGTGCCATGGATAAAATGACCAAAAAACCGCACACAAAGTTACTTTTTCTTAAGGAATTTACATTATACTGATAGGATATAATGTGTAAAATGTGAATTGTATCTAGCGTACTATAGCAGTGCATGTGTACGTATGTACACATATGTGTATATACACATATGTACTTCCATGGGAGTTGGCACACGAGGTGGGCCTTGGGACGATGCTAGGTAGTCTAAGAGCTGGAGGTGAAGAGGTAGAAGAGAAAATGGGAGCATGGGAGGAGATGGAAGTGCCAAGTTCAAGCAATAGCCAGTATATCAGTTTGTTTGACATGGAAATTCACGAAGGGTAGAGTTGTGAAATACCGTTTTCCCTTGACGTTTGTTGGGCTTAGGGGTGCAGCACCCCCACAAATGTGAAAAAGCACAAATAACTCTAGGCCCCACCCCAAATCTCTATTTTTAATCATTCTGAACAAAACAAGTTAAACAAGATACTGTGCCCATGAAAAAGTTGCAGCTTCTACAGGAGAGATTAGTATGCTGCATATTATGTAGCTAATGGAGTTGCAGCAACTGCTTCAGGGTCTCCTATGCAAAGTAACTGAGTCTAAATAGTAGAAAAAGCATTCCTAAAGAGAGTAGGTAGTCATAGTTCTTTAGTGCACTGAAACTTTAAATAACATTTAACTCTTTATAATAAATTTATGTATGTTTGTAGCAGTAAATTATAGGATAGATTAATAAATACGGCATGAATTTATGACAATAATTTTTTGAAGTTTTCTTTGTATATGCATGTTGTCTGCAATTTTCTACAGTGTGCCACAAATCTCCCAAAATTTCCATTTGATTATCAGTGGTCACCAAAACCATGAATGTGAAATCCAGGAATATCAAGGGATACCTGTATTCCTGAGAAGATGCCAGATTTGTAGGAAATAAATGAGAGGAAAGAAGTTTGGCTTCCTTTTCTGAGGGTTTGGCTCTGAAATGGAGGAGAGACATTGGATGAGAACTTTTTTTTTTTTGGTGGTTAAATAAGGATCTAGGTAGCACAGTCAGTAGAGCATTGGTCTTGGAGTTAACAAGTCTCGAGTTCAGATGTGGCCTTAGACATTTACTAGTTTTGTGACCCTGAACAAATCACTTAATCTTTCTGTGGTTCAATTTTCTCATCTGTATAATGAGGGTAATAAGAGCACCTACCCCCAGCTTAGGAGGATAAAATGAGATGTTTGTAAAGCACTTTCAAATTTTAAAGTCGTGTATAAATGTTATTTATTAGTTATTAGTAATTGTTGCTTTCCCCGTGTGAATTAGGGAATTCCAGAGCCAGTCTAACACTTCTCACCCTCAGGTTTTTGTAATTCCAGACCCAGCATACTATCCACTGTGCCACCTTAGCCAGAGGAAATTTATGACCCAGAATTCCCCCAAACCTGGTTGAGCAGCGATGGTGAATAAACAGCATTTACAGAGAACCCCAGAATATTGTGTGCCTTACCCCATCCATATGATGATCCTTCATTGAAACATCTAATTCTATGCCTGACCAATTTTGTGCCCTTTAAATTTTATTCCACCGAGGAATTGCCCCATTTACCTCACACTGGGAAAAGCTCAGGTTAGTACTTCTTGTTCATATTTTTTTATAAAATTCAGTGTATGAGTCTTAACAGTACAATGATTTAAACTGCTAATACTAATACCAGTATTAAATGTTAATACTAAAATGCTAAAGTATTTATTTTAAATAGTGCAGTTATACCTTTTTTTCCTCAGGATTCATTCCTCCAGAACAGCAATAAACAATAGCAGTCCTACCCTACTAAGTGCTTTAGTTTTTTTTTTTCTCACAGTTTTAGTAACAAGATGGTGCAGTGCATGCAGTGTAGTTCAATGCCTGAATTTTAATTCAGAACATCATAGCACAGTAATAAATTATATGGAAATAAATGTCATAGAATAATTATTTTTTTAAAGATTTAATTGCTTTTCCCAATATCCATGTGCAGTTTGTTTGTATATAGTTTGCATGTTGTCTACTCCATTAGACTGTAAGCTCCTTGAGAATCAGGATTTATCTTTGACCTTTCTTTATCTGCCCAATGCTTAGCACAGTGTCTGACATATAGTAAGTTCTTAATACTTATTAGTAACTGACTGGCTCCAAATGACATCAGTATAAAAAGGTTATATTATAAACAAATTAAAAGAAGAAAGAAGAAATTACTTTTCAGATCTATGGATGAAGAAAAGTTTATATGTAAACAAGCAATGGAGACATCATATAAATAAAATGGACAGTTTTGATAATGTAAAATTATTTACACAAATATATCTAATATAGTAAAAATTAGAAGGAAAATAGGTAGCTGATAAAGATATCTTTGCAGCAAGTTTCTCTGAAAAAGTCTTCATATCCAAGATATTTAAGGAACCATTTCACATGTGTAAAAATAAGAAGCATTCTCCAAGTTAATAAATAGTGAAAGGATATGAACAGCTTTCCAAGAAGGAAATGTAAGCTATCAACGACCATGTTAAAATGCTGCAAATCATTATTAATTATAGAAATGCAAATGAAAACTCTGAATTTCCACCATATCCATTAGATTGGCAAAGATGACAGAAGAAGAAAATGATAAATGCTGGTATTTGAGCGCTGCAAGAAAACAAGTACACTAGTACACTATTGGTGGAGTTGTAAATTGGTCCCTTAGCTTATTCTATCTAGAAATGACCTAGAATATTGTTTTGGGGATAATGTACTTGTCAAAAGCCTCAGCAATATTCACTTTTCCTATAAAAAATTGAAATACAGTGGCAAATACACCATATAATTTCTACCTTGAAATTGTATTTTTAGTTTACATGGGTAGAAGAGTCTAAGACCAATTTGGACTTAGAGTAAATCATATCTCAGATTGTTTTTTTTGTTTTTTTCTCATGCTAGTTGAATAATAAGTACTATGCAATTTGAATCAGGATTCTTTGATCGGTGATATATTTTTCTTAGCTGCTTGCAAAATCCTGTCTTCATCAGTGTAGACCTGGAGTTTGAAAATGAATGATCAAAAAGCATTTATTAAGCACTTCTTATACGCCAGGGACAGCTATGTGGCATGGTGGATAGAGTACCAGGCCTAGAGTCAGGAAGACATCTTCTTGAGTTGAAATGTGGCCTCAGACAATTACTAGGTGTATAACCCTGGGCAAGTCCCTTTAACCCTGTTTGCCTCAGTTTCCTCATCTGTAAAATGAACTGGAGGAGAGAAATGCCAGACCACTCCAATACCTTTGCCAAGAAAAACCCAAATGGGGTTATGAAGAGTCGGACACAACTGACAATGAGTGAACAACAACAACAGGAAATGTGCCAAGATCGAGGGTTATAAGTACAAAAGTGAGAGAGCCCACCTTCGCAGGATTTACATCCTTAGAGAGACAGGCAACATCTGTACAACAGGCAAGGGAAAGGAATGTCCAGGGAGTCAGTGCATCACTGGATAGAGGATGGAGTACTGTTAGACAACATTGTATCTGAATGAGTTGAAACAGGTGTATCTCCCTCAGGAATGATGGTTTACCTACCTGAGACTGAGGCTTATGGATTGCGTGAGCTCAGGAGTTCTAAGATGCAGTAGGACTAATCCAATCTGATGTCCTCACTAAGTCCAGAACTGATTTGAGGAGCCCTTAAGGGCCACCAGGTTATGTAAAGAGGAACAAATAAATCTTGGTTAGAAATGGAGCAAAACTTTCATGTCGGTTAGTAGTAGACTCAAGCCCATGAGGCCACTGCACTTGAAGCTTAGTGGAGATAAGGAGACCCACTCTCTAAAAAAAGACAAAAAAATTTCTGTTGATTTCTGGTGGATTCTCTCAGTGATATATATCCTTAAATTTCAGTATTTCTAGAAAATCTTCTGTGTCCTGAAAAACGGTGGTTAGGATCTTAATATCCAGTCATTTAAATTATCTCTCTGAACTTGACTCTAGTTATAGAATTTCTACTGGTAAAATTTTCATTTTTTCTTCTAGTTTATTTGCTTTTTTAAAAAATCTTGCTGATTGTGAGTTTCCTTTATTGGTTTCATGTTCCTGTTCAAATATTCTTCCTTTTTATCTAATGTGTTGATTTTTGTTATTTTGTCTTGTTCCATTTTTGCAATGATTTGTTCATTAGAGAAGACCCAGTGTTTTTTATAAGTAGCATAATATTTCCTTGTTTCCGTTAATTTCTTTTTTTTTCATTCTTAAATAGTATTTTTTTTCCAATTATATATAAGGACAATTTTTGGCATTTATTTTTTCAGAATTTTGAGTCCCAGTTTTTTCTCCTTGCCCTAGCTTCCCCTTACCTAAAATGGCAAACAATTTGATACAGGTCATCTGTGTACAATTATATAACACAAATTTGCATATTAGTCACAGTTGTGAAAGAAGAAACAGATCAAAAGGAAAACAATATGAAAAAAAGTGAAAATGGTATGCTTCGATCTTCATTCAGAGTCCATCATTATTTCTCTGGATGTAGATAGCATTTTCCATCTTGAGTTCTTTGTAATTGTCTCAGATCATTGTATTACTGAGGAGAGCTAAGTCATTCTTAGTTGATCATCACAATGTCTTCCTGGTTCTGCTCATTTCACTTTGCGTCAGTTCATACAGGTCTTTCCAAGTTTTTCTGAAATCTGCCTGCTTATCATTTCTTATAGCACAATCGTATTCCATTACATTCATATGCCAACACATGTTCAGCCATTCCCCAATTGATAGGTGTCCCCTCAATTTACAATTTTTGCCATCACAAAAAGAGCTGCTGTAAATATTTTTGTACATGTATGTCCTTTTCCTTTTTTTATGATCTCTTTGGGATACAGACCTAGTAGTGCTATTGCTGGATCAAAGGGTATGCATAGTTTTATAGTCCTTTAGGCATAGTTCCAAATTGTTCTCCAGAATGGTTGGATCAGTTCACAACTCTACTAGCAGTGCATTAGTGTCTCAATTTTCCCATATCCTCCCCAACATTTATAATTTTCCTTTTCCTTGTCGTATTAGCCAGTCTGATAGATGTGAGATGGTACCTCAGAGTTATTTTAATTTACATTTCTCTAGTCCAGGCCTACACACCCTGTGACCCGTGGGCCACTTACAGCATGCCAGAGGATTTCCTCTATATACAAAGGATGTTTTCCTCTACATTTTTTGCTGGCCTCTCAAAATCCTTTGCTTCCAGCAAGGAGCATGAGGGCCTCAGGTTGTGCCTGGCCTGCTCTAATCAATAGTGATTTAGAGTACTTCTTCATATGATTATAGATAGTTTTGATTTCTTCATCTGAAAGCTACCTGTTCATATCCTTTAATCATCTGTCAATTGGGGAATTGCTTGTATTCTAATACATTTGATTCAGGTCTCTATATATTTGAGAAATAAGGCCTTTGTCAGAGACACTTGCTGTAAAGATTGTTTCCCAGCTTTCTGTTTTCCTTCTAATCTTGGTTGCTGTGTTTTTGTTTATGCAAAACCTTTTAAATTTAATATAATCAGATTGTCTGTTTTACATTTTGTAATGCTCTTTATCTTTTGTTTGGTCATAAATTCTTCCCTTCTCCATAGATCTGACAAGTAGACTATTCCATGCCCTTCTAATTTCCTTATGGAATCACCCTTTATGTCTAAATCTTGTGCCCATTTTGATCTTATCTTGGTGTATGGTGTAAGATGTTGGTCTATACATCATTTGTACCATATTGTTTTCCAGTTTTCTCAACAGTTTTTGCAAAATAATGAGTTCTTATCCCAGAGGCTGTTGTCTTTGAGTTTATCAAACACTAGGTTACTATGGTCATTTACTATTGTGTCTTATATACCTAATCTATTCCACTGATCCACCCTCTATTCCATAGCCAGTACCAGATAGTTTTGATGATTATGCTTTATAATATAGTTTGAGATCTGGTATTGCTAGGCCACCTTCCTTTGCATTTTTCTGTTAATTCTCTTGATATTTTTGACCTTTTGTTGTTCCAGATGTATTTTGTTGTTATTTTTTTCCCAGCTCTGTTAGATAATTTTTGGTAGTTTGATTGGTATGACACTGAGTTAAGTACATTAGTTTAGGCATAATTGTCATTTTTATTATATTGGCTCAGCCAGTTATCCATGAGCAATTGATATTTTTCCAGTTGTTTAGATCTGACTTTATTTCTGTGAAAAGTGTTTTGTGATTGTGTTCATATAGGTCCTGGGTTTTTTTTGGCAAGTAGACTCCCAAGTATTTTATATTGTTTACAGTTATTTTAAATGGAATTTCCCTGTTTCTTACTGCTGGGCTTTGTTGGTGATAATATGGAAATGCCAGTGATTTATGTGGATTTATTTTACATCCCACAACTTTGCTAAAGTTGTTAATTATTTCAGGTAGTTTTTTAGTTGATTCTCTAGGATTTTCTAAGTATACCCTCATATCATCTGCAAAGAGTGATAGTTTTGTTTCCTCATTGCCTATTCTAATTGCTTTAATTTTTTTCTTCTCTTATTGCTATGGCTAACATTTCTAATACAGTATTGAATAATAGTGGTGATAATGTGGGTATCCTTGCTTCATCCCTCATCTTATTAAGAAAGTTTCTAACTTACCTCATTACAAATAATGTTTGCTGATAGTTTTAGATAGATACTGCTTATCATTTTAAGGAACATTCCCTTTATTCCTATTCTCTCTACTGCTGCTTTTTGTCAAAAGGGTTTTCAGCATCAACTGAGATAATCATATGATTTCTGTTGATTTTGTTATTGATATGGTCAGTTATGTTGATCGTTTTTCTAATATTGAACCAGCCCTGCATTCATGGTATAAATCTCACTTGGTCGTAGTGTATGGTCCTTGTGACATGTTGCTGTAATCTTCTTGCTAGTATTTTATATAAAATTTTTACATCAATATTCATTAGGGAAATTGTCTGTAATTTTTGTTCTTAATTTTAGCTCTTTCTGGTTTAGGAATCAGTACCCTGTTTGTATCATAAAAGGAATTTGGTAGGATTCCTTCTTCACCTATTTTCCCAGATACTTTATATAGTATTGGAATTAATTGTTCTTTAAATATTTGATAGAATTCACTCATGAGCCCATCTGGCCCTAGGGATTTTTTTCATAGAGAGTTCATTAATGGCTTGTTCAATTTTTTTTTCTAAGATTGGGTTATTTAGGCATTCTATTTCTTCATCTTTTAATCTGGGTAATTTATATTTTGGTAATGATTTTGCTCATATTGTCAGATTTTTTTGGCATATGATTGGGCAAAATATTTTGTAATGATGGCTTTAACTAACTTGTTTGTAGTCTTACCTCCTTTGCTGTCCAGAATACCGTGTTCTATGACTTCCAGTCCTTTATTATTGCAGCTACTAGGTCCTGTGTAATCCTGATTATAGCTCCCCAGTATTTGAATTGTGTCTTTCTGGCTGCCTTCAGTATTTTTTCCTTGAACTGGCAGTTCTGGAATTTGGCTATAATGTTCCTTGGAGTTTTCATTTTAAGATCTGTTTCCTGAGGTGATTGGTGGATTCTTTCAATGTCTGTTTTGCCTTCTGGTTCTAGAACATCAGGGCCATTTTCTTTGATAATTTCTTGGAGTATGATGTCCAGGTCCTCCTTTTGATTATAGCTTTCAGGTAGTCCAGTGATTCATAAATTATTTTTCCTGGATCCACTTTCCAGTGAGGTCTTTTACGGTTTCTTCTATTTTTTCATTCTTTTGATTTTGTTTCATTGATTCATAATGTGTCATAGAAACATTGGCTTCCACTTGCTCAATTCTAATTTTTAAGGAATTATTATCCATAGTTAGCTTTTGCATCTCTTTTTCCATTTGGCCAGTTCTACTTTTTAAGGAGTTGTTTTCTTTTTCCAAACTGTTGATTCTTTTTTCACGATGCTCTTGAATCGCTGTTATTTCTTTTTCCAATTTTTCTTCCACCTCTCTTATTTGAATCTTAAACTCTTTTTTGAGTTCTTCAGTGAGTTCTTTCTGAGCTTGAGACTAGTTCCTATTTTCTTTGGGGTTTTGCCCATAAGTGTTTTGATGATGTTGTTCTCTTCAGAGATTGTGTCTTGATCTTCCCTGTCATCATAACAACTTTCTATGGTCAGATTCTTTTTTTGTTGCTTTTGATCGTCTTTTCTGGCCTTTTTTCTTACTTTTATATTTGAGCTTTTCTCCTGGCGTGGAAGGGGCACTGTCCCAAATTTCTTGTGCCAGGGGCTGCAGGCCTTGGCAATTTACCTGGTGCTGCACTGCTGTTACCCTGAGGCCATTGGGGGATCCTCGTGTCTGGTACTACACTGAGGGGATTGTGGAGTGGGAGATGGCTGGTGCTACTAGAGGCTGTAAGAGTCTGGCAGCTTACCTGATGCTGACTTGAGGCACATGGTGGGGGTCTGGACATTGGAGTCTGTCCTTTGTCATCTTCCCTTGTGGAGGGATATTGAGACTGGTGACTACCTGTTTGCTTGGGGCTACACTGAGGCACATGGACAGTCTCAGTGCTGGTGTCTATCTGTTTGCTTAAGCACTTAGGGAATCCAATGCTGGAGTCTGCTTGTTTGCCCAGGGTTATGCTGAAGCATGTGGTGGGCTTTAGTGTTGGTGTCCATCAGTTTGTCTGGCTATGCTGAGGCACTTGGGGGTTCCCTGCACTGGGCTTTCTTGTTGGGCACATAGAGGATCTTGGTGTTGGTGTTTCCCTGCTCTGCCACACTGGGTCTCAGGACCTCCCACTGGCGTGCTGAGGAGGGGTTTGCTGCTGGCTAGCCAGGATGTTTGGCTGTACTCTCCTTTCACCAGATTGAGACAGACCTTTTTGCTGACCTTCCCAGTTTCTTAGGCTGGAAGATTGTTTCACCCTGTCTTTTTGCTGGCTCTCTTTTTCCAGGATTTGTTTTGGGATGCTGTGTTATAGTTGTTTGGCGACAAGTATGGGAGAATTAAGGCAATTTCCTACTTACTCTGCCATCTTGGCTCCTGGAAGTTTCCATTAATAATTGTCTTAGAAAATCTCGTTTTCACAAATAACAAAAAAAAATCCCATTTTGAAGCTTTTATCTAATGAAGCTTTCTCATGTCCCATTGTAACAATGATTTATTCATTTTATTTTATCAATCAATGACCGACTGTTGGTTTCAGGCTATTATATTTAAAGAAAATAACCAATTTATTAATGCTTGTATTGTGGTCTAGGAAGGTCAAGGAGAACTAATTCAAGTTTTTCTAGGTTCTTAATCTGTCATTGAATTCTATTTATAGGTCTTCAGTAAACTATCTCAGTCTACCAAAAGCAGGAAATATGGAAGTACTTGAACTGGGAATGGCCTAAGAAATGACTAACACCTTCATTTTTACCTTTTCTTAATGGCAAAAGCCATTTCTTGTCCAATATTAATCCAGTAGAATAATAGTATTAGAGACTGGGGTCTCTCAGATCTTAAAGCCTATGACCAGGATATTTGTCTCCATGGTGGGGCTCTCACACTTGCACAGACACAGGAAGAGGAAAGAAATTTGCTAACAGAATTTCTTTCTCTTTTTTCAGAAATCATTGATTGGTTTCAGGAACCACTGATTGAAGACTTCACTTCAGTCTGCCCAGAGTAACCATCAATACCCAGAGACCCTGGTAACAGATTTGCTCCTGCTTCTGTCCTTAGCCTCTTCAGATAATTTAAAATGTAACTAAAATCTTCAAGTCTCTTCCATACTCAAGAATAGCTAAGGTGAGTGGATTAAGTAGCATATTCTACCTATTTCAGAACAGTGAATTTTTATAGCTCAACTTGTAGTCTTAGTCTAGATGCTAATCCATTTTGAAGTAATCTTAGATCCTTCAGCTTTGAAAAAGAAGACTATCTGGTTTTACCTTCTAGAAGCCCTACACAACTGTATTCCAAGGCCTGATAAAGAATCCACCAAAGAGCTGAGTCTGATGAGGAGCTAAAATGAAATTAATTCCCAGGTTTTGCGAGAAAGAGGCATTACCCAAGAAAATATCTGCTTCTAAAGAGAATATATTCCTCTATTGCTTTTTGAACCCAGAGAGATGAAGAATTAATAACTGGATAAGCCAGTAGAAATTGAGAGGTTGGAATTAGTTGTGTTTTTCTGAGAAAGCTGATTATTGCTTATACCTGGCAACACACCCACACAGAAGGGTTTCTATGAAGGAATGACATAGTGTGAAGGTGACAAATCCTTACCATATGTTCAGGTCAACCAGTAATTGCTTCTGCCTAGATTGCTGTTCTATGTTACTTATCCTAGAAGTCTTCATTGACTGCTTACAATGAGAATGTAAATGAGACAGTTCTAGCATGATCAGACTAGAGGCTTTCATTTTCATTCACATTATGCTCAAGGCCATTGAAAAGTCTTTAGGCAAGGAGAAAGGGAAGAATAAAAGAAAGAAAGATCTTGAGGGCCAAAAGAGATGAGTTCACAAGGATTTCCTTCTTTAAAAACAATTTGACATTTATTAAAAATACTACAGAGGAAGTAGAGAAGAGGGTTCACAACAGAGCTTTAGGGGACACCTAGGAGACACAAAACAGCAGACGCTGGATGCAGATTCAGTAAAAAGAGAGTGATGGAACTAGTCGTACAGGTAGGAGGGAAATCCAGGAGAGAAGAATGTTATGAAAACCTAGAAAAAAGTGTATTGTGGAGAGTGATTGACATTGTCAAAAGCTTGAAGAGAAGTAAAAAAAGGATTAGGATTTAGAAAAAGCCAATTAGATTCAGCAGTAAAGAGGTCACTTGTAATTTTGGAAAGAACAGTTTCAGCTGAATGATGAAGTTAGAAGCCAGATTGTAGAGACTTAAGAAGAGAGTGAGAAGGGGGGCAGCTAGGTGGTGCAGTGGATAGAGCACCAGCCCTGGAGTCAGGAGGACGTGAGCTCAAATTTGACCTCAGACCAAACACAACATTTACTAGCTGTGTGACCCTGGGCAAGTCACTTAACCCCAACTGCCTAAAACTTTAAAAAAAAAAAAAGAAGAGAATGAGAAGAAAGGAAATGGAAGCACCAATTTTAGACAACTTTCTTAAAGAGATGTTAACCATAGGAGGTAGGAAAGATAGAGCTGAGAGCCAGCAGGAATAAATGGATTAAATGAAAGTATTTTTTTTTAAGGATGGGAAAAACATTGACATGTTTGAAGGAAACAAGAAAGCAGCCAGTACAGAGCAATTGAAGATTAGTGAGAGAGTGGGGATGATAGAGAGGGGCAATCTGATGGAGAAGATAGGATGGAATAGAATCACTTGTGCATGTAGAAGGTTTACCTTAACAAGGAGAAAAACCACCTTTTCAGTGATTCAGGAGTGAAGGAGGAGACAGTGGCAGAAGGTATCTGAGTGATGTGAGATGAAAAAAAAGGAAGAGGGAACTCTCAATGTCTGGTCCTTTTTTGTGTGTGTGTGTGAAATATGAGGCAAAGTTCCCAGTAAGGGCCTAATTGTGATTATATAACATAAATTTTTAGGGAAGTCACATGATTTTGTGATTTTTTTTTCCCTTCAGTTTCATTCATCAGCATATGAATAAAACCAAAGGCAGGCAGATAGTAAGAACAAGCCAAGGTTAGGACTTAGCAGGGTAAGATCAGTGATTGGATAAGGAGGTAAGGGCTCAAGAGTGGAAGTTAGTATAGAATTGAACTGTTTCATCAAGGTGTCAACGTGACGAAAGTAGTGAAGGGGTGATGGCCTGAGAAAGAACAGAGGGGGTTGAAGGATTGGAGGCCATGGTGTGAATGGAGAACAAAGTTAGGGGTTTTAAGGCAGAGGAAAGGTGGGATGGTAAAAGACTGAAATCAGATAAAGGAATATCAGAGTTCATAAACGTGGAAGGAGAATACTTGTGGATGATGGCAAGATGAAGAATATTACCATTATTATTTGTCTTTGAAGCATGGTGGAGAAGGTAATGGGAAATGAGTAAATTGAGGAGCTGGGAAGTTAGGGTGTTTGAAAGATCTTCAATATACATATGAAGTACCCTAGTTTGAGGGTAGAAGTTAAGGAAGAGATAAAGACTGTGAACCAGGTTCTGAACTCATTGAAGAGAGAAGTATGCTCTGAAAGTCAAAAAATAATAGTTACTAATCCTAATTGGGTGACAGATATAGATTCAATGAACCTCAAAAGGGAGAGAGTGAAGGTGATGGAGGGAAAGTCTGAAAGTAGTAGTAGTGAATAGTAATAGTGAAGGACCTCTGTACCACAACCAGAAAGTCCAAGTTATGGGTGAAAGTTCAACCAGTGCTTGAAAGGGTGGCCGAGGATGCCCTGTAATTAGGAGGGCTCCACATCTCCAGGAGTTCAAGAAGATAGAAGGAGTGATAAAGGAAAAAAGTTAAAGAGGAAAGTTAGTAACCTGTGGAGCAGGCATTCCAGCAAGCACAGTGGAAATGATAGGTATATCTGGAGAGGGAAATTGAGGTGATTGGGAATGAGGGAGTGAGCTGAGCAGTGAGAGGACAGAGTTTGTCAGGGACAATGAGAGTGAACAGGGTTTGTCAGAGGTTAAGAATCACTAGGATGGGGAGAATGATGGGATGTGAATCTAATCTATGTTCCATTGAGGAATATCTTCAGGGTGCCAGGTCATTAGTGTATAAGTATAGCTACTTGAGTGATCAGGGTGATAGGGACTTGTCACAGTGTGGAGATCCCAAGCAAGGACTTATCACTTGTCAAGCTAGCCACATGGTAGAGTTGGATGTCGGAAGAAAAAAGGGGAAGGAATCTGATGGGTTGTTGAAGTAGATTAGAGAGTGTGCTAGGAGGGAAGTGAGCAGTGTTCCTATGGGGCTTGGACGGGATGGCCTCTGAGATCCTTTATGTCTAAAATGATGATCCTGATTTTTTATTGGTGATTCATTGCAGCACGGTTAAGTTTACTGTGACCATTGGGTGACCTTGGAGTGCTGGCATTCTATATCTGTGACCTTATCAATAACGTTGCACTGGTTCAACACAACAACAATAGAATCTCTACAAAATACCTTTCAGAAGTGAAGTTCCATGTGTAAGGCCATGTCCTGAAAGCGTCTTGAATCAAGTCATGTCAACAAGCATCTATTTATTAAGCTCTTATTATGTGTCAGGCATTGTGGAAAGCATTAGTGATACAAAGAAAGGCAAAAACAGTCTCTACACTCAAGGAGCTCATCATCTAATGAGGAGAGACAACATGTAAACAACTATGTACAAAATAAATTGGAAATTATCAAGAGAGGGAAGGAACTAGTCTCTATAGTACTGTGTTCTCTATGGTACTTTGTAATTAGAAAAGAATTTTTTCAAGTAGCTAAAAGAGATCTGATCTCATTCCTCAAGCATTTCTGCCAAGAGAAAAGTAATATTATATACTATTACAGCTTGATTGAATCTTGGGTGTTATCTACTCCAAACTTCTTATCATTTTACAGGTGAAGAATCTGAAGTCCATAGTGAGTAACGGGCTTTCTCTAGCTCATGTAGCTAGTTTTGCCATATCCAGGACTGTGAGTAAGGTCTTCTGCTCCGATTCTATTTGTGTCCTTCTTCCCCCTCCCACAAAACCTTGAACAACCAAAAAAAACCCCAAAAACCAAACCATCTGATTCCTTTGAACACACTGATATCATTTCTCCTATCATTTGAAAACTTGTAGTGTTGTTAGGAAATATGGAGTACAAGGGTTCAATTCCAGTGATGTCCCCCACAAAATAAAACTGTAGATTTCTCAGGAGAGAAAATGTGAAAACTCATTTTCCATGACCAGAAAATTTCCCCAAACTTTCCTTGCTTTGGGGGCCAGTGCAACAAAAATAAACCTAAAATTAGAGCAAGCAGAATCTGACTCCAGGCTAGATAGCTCATGCATTCACCATACTTATATGTTAAACTAAAATAAGATATTTCTGTTAGTGAGAAATGCAGCCTAATGAGATGAGGAGAGGAAAAAGACAAAAACAAAAAAACTCCAAAAAACTAAACATAAGGGATGTTCTTGGAAAGAAGTCCTACCCATCCTTCAAATCCAAACAGATGTATTTTCTATATAAGAGTCAATATTACCTAACAGTGCATCAGAGAGACTTCTGAAATGATGTGAGAAATGGTATCACTGTGTTCAAAGGAATATCTTATCTGTCTGTCTGTCTATCTATCTATCTATCTATCTGTCTATCTATCTATCTATCTATCTATCTATCTATCTATCTTCCCAACCCCACAGGTCTTCCAGAATTTATTTCAATGACCAGTCTAAAAATATATACCATGCTCAAGGCCCTATGTAATGCATTTAAGATAAAAATCAATGAAAAACAGGTGATTTCTGTGGAATCACCCAGATCTGGAACTTCCTAGTGATTTCTATGGATCTTCTTGCTCTAGAGGCTCCTGGTAATTTCCATGAGATCTTGATGCAAAGGTTCCTAGAGAAGCCAAAGAGAAGCTGATCTTAGTCCCTGAGGCAGAGGAAGGGATGGGGCCAGCAAGTGGCGAGTGCCCCAGAGATCTTTGAGGCTTCTTTACTCTGGATTCATCCTCATGCCAGAATGATAGAAGGTCCCTGAGAGTCCCTGGAAAAGTAAGCCTGCAGCCCAGAGCCCAGAAGATTCAGGTGAGAAGTTGGAGGGAGCTAGTCTTCTGAAGCTGACCTGGAATAGAAGTAGAGACAGAGACTAGTAAATAATATAGCAAGCATTTAAGTGCCTGTTGTGATCAGTCATGTGCTAGGTACAGGGATATACAAAACAAAATGGTCTATATCCTCAAGGAATTTTCATCCTATTGTCAGAGTACAATGTATGAACAGATATAGAGATTATTTAATGATGGGGAGATAGCTTTAAGAATTAGACAGCAGGGCAATCAAGAATCTTATAGGAGGTGGCCCCTGAGCTTCTGAGGCATGAAACAAACTAGGAATTGTAGGGAGAGCTAGGACTTTGTAATAGTCCCAGGGAACAAATAGCCTATTCAGTAGTGTAGACGAGTGAGATAGAATGACCAATTCATGGACTAGCAAGTCAGACAGTTTGGATGGAACATTGTGTTCACACAGGGGAATAGTGTGAAATAGTCCTTAAAAATTAAATTGGGCTTGAGGTACAAAGGATTTTAAATGCCAAACTGAGATTTTACTTATTTTTTTAAAAAAATCCTAGTGATAATAGGGATTCAAGGACAGTTCTTATTGACATAGTCAGACTTGTGCTTTGGGAAGCTTATTGTGTCAACATTTTGGAGAATAAATCGAAAAGAACCTGGAAGCCAGGAATCCAATTAGGGCACTTGAAGTAATGCAGGCAAGAGGTAATGAGGGCTTGAACTAGAATGGTGGCTGTATGGATAGAGCACAATGGAGAGAAGAGAGAGGTATTGTGGATGTCTTCTACAGGATTTAAAAGCTGGTTGAATATGATAGGTGAAGGAGAATAGTCAAGAATCAGAGTCAGTAAACATTTATTAAGGACCTACTATATGCCAGGCTCTGTGTTAAGCACTGGAGATAGAAAGAAAAGCATAAGATAGTCCTTGCCCGCAGGGAACTCGCAATTTAATAGGGGAAGATAACATATAAAAAGAAATTGAAAAGTCTGGTTGGAGAAGAAGAGAATGTAATGAAGTCCTGCAGCCAGGGTAGGAAATGATCTAAAAAGATATAAGTTAAAAGAGTTGATTTCATCTTGAAGGAGGATGAATATCTGGAGATGATGAAGCGTAGGAGTACAGCCAGGTAGCAAATGATAAGGTGGATACCCTGGGTACCCTTCCTCAATGGAGGATCTGGGAAGAACTCCTAGATGTTTACCCTGACCTCTTCAACCACAGAGAGGGAGGAGCCCCAGGGGCAGGGTTGCTGAGGAGGTGTGAGAATGATGAGTTTTTGGAGATCACGAAATCTACAAGAACAGCTGGGTGGGAAATTATGAGGTGAATGCCCTGAGCTCTTTGCTTAAATGGTGGAAAATCTGGTAGGACCTCTCTGATGTCTACCCTCTACACCTCTAGTCAGAGGGAAAATATCACTAAGGTTGTGAACTTGAGTGTCTGCAAAGATAGGTAGTTCATTTAAAAAACTGGAAAAGGGGATGAAAAAATGAATGATTACAAGAGAAAAGAGGAGTTCCTTTTTGTTTATGGTTAGATTCAAAGGTCTTTTGGCTAACCAGGTAGAAATGTCCCCTGGGTTTTTGGTTGTGTGGGATTGAGGCTTAGAAGAGGGATTAGGGCTGGATTTATAGATCTGATTATTATTTTCAAAGAGATAATTGATCACATGTCAACTAAAATAATGAACAAGGCAGAGGGTCGAGGGTATAGGGCAGAGTTGAAGAAAATCTCTGGTTAGCAAGAAAATTTAGATATTGATCAAGACTAGGAAGTAATGGTCAGACAGATAGCAGAAGACCCAAAAAGTAACAGTGTCAAGAAAGCTGAGGAAGGAAAGATTATTTTTAAGGAGGGAGTAGTTAACAATTAAAAGATGCAGAGAGGTCAAGGATGACCACTGCAAAAAAGCTATCAGATTTTGCAATTTTAGTATCCTAGGTAGGTAACCTTGGAGAGAACAATCTTAATGAACTTGGGTCCAAAGCCAGATTGCAAGAATTTGAGAAGTAGGTAGGTAGATAGGAAGTAGAAGCAAGAAGTGTGAATGGCTTTCTTTAAGATACTGGCTATGAAAAGGGTAGAGAGATACAGAATGATAGTTTCTTATTTTAACAAATTATTGTTACTGACTAGATATTAGGGTATCTGTGGCCTGTCTAGGATGGGAGAAGAGATGGTACAGTAATTTCCATTCATCAGTATCTTTTCCCCTACCCTTACTACCTACCTCTTTAAGGTGTAATCCAGGCATCCACACCTCACTCTTCCTACTGATGTTGGGTGAAGCTATGACCAAGCTGGAGAGTGACAAAGGGCTGACATCCTCTGCCAGGGCTAGAAGTCACTGAAGAGTGAACAGAAGATTATCAGCCCATGGGACCCAGACAGAGTAGATGCTTTTCTTAGTTTTCTTAGTCCTACCCTTTCCCCACCCTATATGGGGAGGGAGATATTGAAAGGAGGCTGGCAATAAGATTCCCATGCTGTTCTCATAAGACAGCAGTTGGATGCTGAGAATCTTCTGGTTGTAGCTCTATTTCTTCTTGAATTAACTCATATTTACTTGTCTGTGTACATGCTGATGATTCTCTTATTTAGAGATAGTGAGTGAATCCACTTTTACCATCATTACTAATGATCTGGCAATACCAAATGTTTCTTGTAAAGTAAGGCTCTAGAAGAAACATGATACTGATCAATGACGTGGAAAAGATTCCAAATACATTGTATTATGAGTTTTTGCATTTCTTTAAGAAGGTGGTTTTGATTTCAGAGAAGTGTAAGACTTTGAATCAACACCTGGTATAATCTTAGAGGAAATTCTATAGAGTAAGGATGATTCAAAGGGAATAACTGAGAATTCTTTGGGACGGGATTGTTGGAGATTGGGAGAGACCTCAGAGCACTAGATAGAATTTCTTGCCCCAAGGACAAAAGAAAACATTAATATATGGAAGTTCTCTCTTGGGGGAGTGAAGAGTTCAAAACACGAGTGCTTTCTAGTCTCTGTGGGAGTAAACTCCAAGAATGGGAAGCTGAGGAAAAGATAGAAGGTAAGATCAAAGCTGCCCTTTCTTCCCAGTGGTATTCTTAGCATTCCTAGGATGGTAGAAATAATAAGACACTGGATTGAGAGTTCACATTAAAATCCTACCTTAGACTCTTCCAGCAATATAATCCTAGGCAAATCATTTGACTTCTCTATGCCTACGTTTCCTCTCCTGTAAATTTAGGAGGTTGATCTTGATAACCTTTTAAGGTGTCTTCTGATTCTAAAATCTAGGATCCTAAGCAGATGGTAGTAATACCAAGGATATTTGTGTGTGTGTGTGTGTGTGTGTGTGTGTGTGTGTGTGTGTGTGTGTAAAAGCAACGCTGAGATGTTATTCATTCTTTTCTCTAGGGACTATGAAAAAGAATATTCAGTCTAACCTGAGTCCAGTTGGGAGACCATTAATGAGAGCTTCTCTTCAAACTCCTTTTCTCATTATTCTTATGCGTCCTTATTATCCAACATGGAAAACTGACCAGTCAGAAGCATCTCTTATACCTGGGATGAAAATCTAAAAGCAGTGGTCGTTCCTTGGGAGATTGAAACTTGATCAGAGTCAGTCCAGAAGAGAAATAATTTGTGATATGCAATTTGTGTCAGAGGTGGATAACACCATGCAATAGATTCTCTTACCCAAAGTGTATCTACCATTTGTCTGCTTACAGAGACTACCCAGAACCCTCTGGGAGAATGGAAGAAGTGGAAGCACTGAGATTCTCAAGGGAGACTCAATAAAAAGTAAGACCTAAAACTCCCTTACAGGATGTTCAGAACAGTGATTGTCATTGTTTGACCTGCTGAGGTTTTTCACCACCCTAGAGGCCCTCTAGCAACATGCTCAATAATTGGTCAAAGAGGGTATTGGCTATATTTTTTTATAATAACTGATGAAATTGGGGGTCAGAATGAAGTGAGAGCGGACACCAGAAAGATTGTCCTGTGTGTGAGGTCAAGGATAGGAAGATGAGCATTAACAAGGACAAGTCCAAGATGAAGAAATATCCTGTTGTTGTTATACTAGGAATCCTTTCATGGTTCTTCAAAGTCACAAGAATAAGAAGTGAGTTGGGAGTGCCTTGTGAAAAGGGACTGTGACAAGTTCATCCATCAAAGTTTCTCTGGCTCAAGTCACTTCATTGTAACATATATCAAGAACTCTGTGCTAGACTAGCACTAATAGGACCCCCAGTCCTCCATTCATAGCATCTGAATCTCTCAATGGACCAAAAAAACCTAACACAGTTAGCCCAGGATAGTACCAACAGAGAACAGAAGAGAAAAGAAGCAGTCTGAGGCCAAATTGGAGTCAATCCAGAAGACATCTCACATTTATGAAGAAGAAGTGTTTGAGAAGGATACAATAATGTCTTCTTTCTAAAGGGTCTTCATCTTGTGGGTTCTCTTAAACCCACAGCAACCCAGAGGTGAGGCTTTGGTTCTTTTTTATTAGAAAAGATAGCTTTGCTTTCTCACATAAGCAGTAATGTTCATATCACTTTTGCCCACTTTGAAGAAATGTAGTACATGGGGCTCTTGAGATCAGAATTCAAACAAAATAATATGGTAAGTCTTTGGGGCCACATATGTGAAAAGATGTTTTATTTTCATCTGCCTTTGGTGCCAGCTGGGAGGGGAGAATGTTCATATGCATGCTATATCTATGCCAAGCGGAAGCTGGCTCTGGCTTAGTTATTCATAGCCAGTAAGCAATTTTTTAAACAAAAGCAATTCCCCTTGAAATAAATTTGCTTATGCATCTTTGCACAATCCTTTGAACAATGAATTTTCCCACCTTTTAAAAATACTTTTTCCTCAGGATTGTTTTCATTTGTGACATAAAAACTTTAAGAGATGTAGTTTCTGGGTAACCAATCATTTTATTAATCATGCTAGCAGATAATAAAGGGAGTCAGTGGCACTGTCAAATGCCAAAGACCCATCATGGAACCCACCAATGCTTACATACCCTCGGAAGAGTGGGTTTCCTGAGTGGGTTTCCTGAGGGTGAAGATCAACTGATTGGTTAACAATTAATGAGAGAATGAATATTATAATGAAAGGTGGGCTTCTTCCAATGAGGGGCTGGGGGACGTGACTCCTATCACTCCATCTTGGTCAAAGAGACTTATCTATACCCATATCACTTTTACCCAGACCTGTCTGACTAAAACACAATGGGCTAGAATCCATCAATTCACCTAAACTAAAATTTACTTTTTGAACAGATCTGAGTTTTCCCAGTGTGGTCCATCTGCCACTTTCTTTATCAGCTCAGCTCTTCAAAGGCTGTTTTAATAGCCTACAGGGAATAAGGAAATACAAGGAGCGGGGAACCTCATTCCTAATTCTGTAGTTGATTATTAATATGAGAGAAATAATAATTTCTCTCATATTTGTGTTTTTGTATATTAACAATTTTCAGTTATTGTGGTTTGTGATCCTTTTTTGAAAACTGTTCATATCCTTTGAAAACATTTGTATTAGCTTTTAATCTCATTGATTTCTATCAATTTCCTATAATTTTGGGATAATAGGTTTTTTTAATCACTGATATTTAATACTTTTTTTTTCCTCATAAGGCCAAGCATGACAAGACCTTCTATCTAACACCACCTTTTCAGATACTGAAATATAGCAGTAATGTATCTCGTAAGACTTCTCTCTTCAAAGCATAGTATCCTTAGTGGCTTCCATTGGTTCCCATATTGCATCATCTCTGGGACATATACCACACAATTCATCTTGATCTGGATGCGTTCGAGTTCATTTCTAAATCCTTCTTAAACTAAGGCACTTGAACTAAATGCCATTTTTCATGTATGGGAGCCAGGGATCCTTGGGGAGTTCCCACAGATATCAGTGATGGAGCCAGCTTACCTGTCCTCCAGCATTTCTGGTGCTTTATATAGGTTTCTCAAGGAGTGTACAAGCTCTGTGTGGCTGTGTGCTAGTCATAGTGGGGCAGAAGGGAGACAGAAGGTAAAATGGAATGTTTTGTGAGTGTATCTCCCAAGTCTCAAAGAGACTCACTGGGAGGGACTGATCCCCTTGGAGAAGGGGATGGCATAGATTTCTTGTGTGCCCCAAGGTGGAAAAGAAGTGAAGGGCAGTTAAGCACCCACTCACATGCAATTGAGGGCTGGGGATCATCAATTAGAAGGGCCAGACGGCTAACTGAGCAGCCATTTTGTAAGCTGTTATTGTTAAGATGTGTTGGGACTTTTAAATAGCTGAAGATGTGTTGATTAACCAAGAGCATGTTTCTAGGAAATCTCTCCCTAGAATAAGCAGTAAGGCCTCCTTAAGGGAGCAGTTGTAGGGATAGCAGCCTCAGATTGTAGCCAAAAACCCAAGGAACTATAGTCCAATGCTGCCGTCTAAACAACAAATAGTACCTATTGTGTGAATACGTGTGTTATTGTGAAGATTAGTGTGGCTTCTGATATTCCCCCAGGAAAAAGCAATATAAAGTATAAGAAGCTGTACATGTAATTTACATCAATCAGTTGTAAGGTAATGTTGTTGAGACAGAAGGTTGATGATCTGCATGGAATTTTAATAAAAAAGAGTTAGAGAACAGGGATCTCTCAGTGTTTAGTCAGTATTAGTGTTACATGACAAGTTCTAAATCTTTGGACAAAAATATTGTTGGACCAGAAGTTTATCATTGGCCTGACCAAAGATATTTCCTAGCTTGATAGAAATATTCTTTGAGAATGGCCTTCTTACTTTTCCCTAATTCTCTTTTCAATAAGTAAGCTTGGTTTTCTTTTTAATTTGATCTGAGTGAACCTTCCCACCCCGAGGCTTTGTCTTATCCATCCACCTTCCACTATTTCTCTTGCCAACACCCAGAAGTTTTGGAATGAACGTAGATCCAGACCTGTCCAGTAGCTGTCTTTGCTGATCAAGAGTGGGGAAGGTAACCACTGCTCATTTCTTCATTCTTTCATCTCTCTTCCACCAACTGCCTTAGAGAGGAAGCAGACCCAGTCTGGACCTATCTCCCTCTGCAACATCCTTTGAAGTATTTTCACTTCACTAGTCACTATCCTTATGTTTTTTCCTGTTTCTCTTCCTGTCTTTGTACTCATCACTCACTGGCCACTTTGGAGCAAACCTCCAGCCCCTTTCTCCTGTTCTTTCATTTCTAGTCTCCTTAACCCTATCTACCTATTTACCAATTCAACCTTCCCCACTTCTTCAGCTGTGCCTTCTGGAATTCTTATTCCATAGCAAAAAATTCACATTCATGCTGCACTTAGCTCTTTCTTTTTTTCCTTTTTATTAAACTATTTATTTATTTATTTATTTTTAGTTTTCAACATTCACTTCCATAAGATTTTGAGTTTTAAATTTTCTCCCTTTCCCTATCCTCCCTCTTCCCCATGACCATATGCAATCTGATATAGGCTCTACTTAATACATTTATATTAAGCATATTTTCACATTAGTCATGATGCAAAGAGGAATTAGAACTAATGGGAGGAACCTTGAGAAAGAAGAAACAAAGAAACAAAATAACAAAAGAAAAAACAAATAGTATGCTTCCATCTGTATTCAGAGTCCATAATTTTTTCTCTGGATGTGGATAGTGTTTTCCATCATGAGACTTTTGGAGATGTCTTAGATCCTTGCATTGCTGAGAAGAGTTAAATCTGTCAAAGTCAGTCATTGTACAGGGTGGCTGTTACTGTGTGCAATGTTTTCCTGGTTTTGCTCATTTCACTCAGCATCAGTTCATATAAGTCTTTCCAGGTTTTTCTGAAGTCTGCCTGCTCATCATTTCTTAAAGCACAATAGTATTCCATTACATTCATATACCACAACTTGTTCAACCATTCCCCAATTGATGGGCATCCCCTCAATTTCCAATTCTTTGCCATCACAAAAAGAGCTGCTGTAAATGTTTTTGTACATGTGGGTCCTTTTCCCATTTGTATGACCTCTTTGAGATACAGCCATAGAAGTGCAGTATATTGCTGGGTCAAAGGGTATGCACAATTTTATAGCCCTTTGGGCATAGTTCCAAATTGCCCTTCAGAATGGTTGGATCAGTTCAGAATACCACCAACAATGCCATTGGTGTTCCAATTTTCCCACATCTCCAACATTTATCATTTTCCTGTTTTGTCATGTTAGCCAATCTGATAGGTGTGATATGGTACCTGAGTCTTTTGATTTGCATTTCTCTAATCAATAGTGATTTAGAGCACTTAACTCTTTCTTTGACTACTTTCATCAACTGGCCTTCATTAAGATTTAATTGACAGTACTTCCTTATTGAAACCTGATAGTACTTCCTAAGCTTCCCTTTCTAGCAGTGGATGTACCTTCTCTCATGCCACCTGACAAACTGGTCTTAGACAGCTAAGTCAAAAAACATCTAGCTCCTTTCTGTCACTCCTAGATTATCCCTTTAATTCATCTTCTCAGCAGCCTGTCTCCTTTAAAGTGTACTTCATCAAAATTTTATACCTAAGGTAAATTCTGGTGGCTGTAGAAAAATGGTGTCAGACTCAAATAGAAACATCCTTGTGTCTACATATTGAATTAGAAAACCCCAAAATAGCATTATTTGTGGTTTATTATATTTTAAAATTTATTTTTATTAAACATTTGCCACTTACATTTTCTAGATTCTAGTTGCCCTCAGGAGTTTTGCAGGCCACATGCTATCAAACTCATGTTTGACATCTTTTTATTGAGTACTACCCTTCAGGTTCTCCTTCTTTTGACAGAGTTCATAACGTGACTTTCATCTTTCTTCCCAAACTCCTGGCTTTATCAGGGCTTAAATTCTACATAGCTGTTCCCTCAAACTCCTGAAACTCCAAGGTCCTCAGCCTTATTAAAACCCATGACCAGCTCAGCCACACAAAGGAATGGTCACAGATTAAAGTTCATTGTTACCCAAAAGTGTTATACTTCTCTAATTCAATGTCTGATATTACCCTGACCATAAACGAGATCATCAATAATTAAACATTTATTAAGCACCTACTGTGTACCAGTTATTGTGCTAAGTGCTAGAGATACAAAAAGAAGAAAAAGTCAGTTCTTGCCCTCAAAGACCTTACAAACTGATGGACAAGAAAACGTGCCAACAGATATATACAAAGTAAGCTATATGTAGGATAAATAAGAAATAATTAAAAGAGCAAAGGTACTGGAATTAAGAGAGGTTATAGAAGGTTTCCATATAGGAGGTGGGATTTTCATTGAGACTTAGAGGAAACCGGGAAGTCAGTAGTCTGAGTGGAGGAGGGATAGCATGCTAGCCATGGAGGACATAAGAGAGAATTCCTGGAGCTGAGAGATGATATGTCTTGTGTATGGAACAGTCAAGAGGCTAATTCAAAGAATGAAGAGCGCATGTTGGGGAGTTAGGTTGTAAGTAGACTGGAAAGGTGGGAAGGGTCTA